TAACGGTATGTTATTAAGTAATAATGGCAGTCTGGTCAGAGTGAGTATGTTTAAGTATTAATTGATAGACTGTATCTTGATTTTCATTTGAAATAGCCATTTCCTAATAAACCTTACTCAGATGACTCACACAATCCTTAAATAATGAATGAGCGTGTAAGGAATAATTCGATTAGATGACTCAGCAGGTGTTCAGATCAAAATACTCTTAAAACGAACCATCAGAACAAACTGTTTGGGCATGAACCGTTTTGACCAGCCCTGATGTTGCAAGCAAAATGCGGCAAGCATCTACCAGGAACCTGCGAAGAACACTGACTAATAAGTAGATGCAGATCGACTTTCGGTGAGGCACTGTTCCTTCTCTACTACTGTAACCGGTTCGTTTAGGCAGAAGTGTTGAAAATCTGCTAGTACGATAAATATAACAAGCTGGAGACGCTCTCCTTATTCATTGATGGTCAGACAGACACAGACTACACTTCAAACCAGCAAATATTTGAAACAAAATGGCCAATGGAACCCTTACTGTATCACACCGTAGGAAACATATCGTTTCTGAATATTGGCCGACATTCGAGATCTGGAGACAAGGTTTCATAAACGACCTGATTATCAGTCGATTTTGAAACTGCGCGTAGTCGTCTTCAGCATTTGAGTAAACTTTTATTCTCAGTCTTATGAGTCGACTTCGAGTTCGAAGTAGAGCTTCAAGAAAACCATTTCAATTCCCGCAAATAATTTTTACCTCATCTCTAGTTTTCGGCCTCGAGCAGGCAGTATTCAACACAGTTTAAGTTACTGCATATGCGTTGCACTGTATGATGAACTGAGTAAGTAAGAAACGCAGTCTTTCTAACGGTTAATTTTGTTGCTTTTCTACTTGGAGATGGCAGTGCAAGAGACCAGGAGATGCCCATGTCAGAATTAGTGTAAACCACGGCTTCGTTGTTATTTGCAGACATAACTGACAGGCGGGTGTTCTTCGATGATGACCTCGTACAAACGACAGTGAATACCATGAACGATTTGAAAAAGGACGAAACAACCCATGGCGCCATTCAGACGCTGCCAGTCGTTGTAAGAGGCGAGCACCAGAAATGATTAATTTGAAAAGAGATATCTTTTAGAGATGGAGCCGAAGGTTAGAAGAATTGGTGTCGGAAGACTTTGACGAGTGCATCCAACGAAAACCAGGGAATACGAAGCTGCTGCAAAAACATAATTTGACATGGATCTACGTTGCACATGACTTTGAGGCGTATCCAGACTTTTGGACCAGCTACCTCAAATACGTAGTGGACGCTTTGCTCAGAAAGAGATATCAGGAAAATGCCCAGGTAAACGGCTGTTGTTCAGCTGCAAAATAAGCTAATCAGAATGTCAATCAATCTAGAAACGACTCTCGAACGTAACTGAAATTGGTTGCTTGATAACCATTTGCAAATTAGATCATCCGCCTCACATTTACCCTCCCAGAAATGAGTACGCTCTGAGGTGCATCACTCAAATCCAGTAAGACCATTTCATGTGTTTTAAAACTTAGTGAATCCAATAGCCGAAAGAGTTGCCGTTTTAGGGATCAGACGAATCAAGTCGATATCTCCGTGGCTAAAGTTGCTGTTTACGAAGGATCAGGAACTGAAAGTGAATTCGATTCCTCAGATTAACGCTCGGCTATATGAGCCGCATATTGCATTGTCATGTGTATTGTAAATAGACGCTCGGGTTTTATTCTTCAGTTTTGTAAACCGGTATGTGTTCTGTTATCTGGGGACAAATATTGTGAACATTAAGTGTATCATAATGGAGAAAATTTTCATAGATCAATGCTTGAGACTCTGAATCACGCAAAACGATTGTAGTCATATTGAACGAAATGTAAATAATCTCGTTTTTGGCAAAACACTCGGGCGAATGAAATTGATCATGCAATGTCTTGAATTATCAGTTCAATTCATGAAAACAGTCACTGTAACATTGAAAGTTATATCCCCTCTGTTTGAAGAGCAGCACGCATATGAAGTACATCATATTTTATCCTTTATGAGGCCTTTTCGTCGTAACGGCGGCCATTGAGGACCAACATATCAATGTAGCGGAATAAATGATGCTGATGCATTTAGAGACACCCGTTTTCGGAATGTCGCGTGCTGCTTGCAGACATAACCGTCAGCATTGGCAGAATACCCCTGATTTGCCATGTACACTATATTTTCAGACTTTCACAAATTTACCAAAATGTTATTATTATAACTTTATTATTGCCGGTATTGAGCCGGCATGACAAAGTAGGAAGGTTGAAAACCATATGGATGTCTTCGGTAAATTTTTTTCACTTGCTTCTCATGCTGTTGCGGTCATCGCACGTTACACATAATCCGTAATCATGCGGGTTATAAGGGCCATGCCTACTGTTCGGTAATTGAGCCAGACTGCAGAAGGGCGACGGTCAGAATGTGCCTCATGCCTATTGGATTTAGCAGTGTTTCAGAGGGCGACGGCAGTGGAACACTGATACCAGTATTCGGCAGAGCCGTTACGATTTCTGTATGGAATATGCAGCAAATGCGATGCTATCTTAGTAAGTCAGACAGTATTCCCTGGGATATTGAACGGTACCTACACTGCAAACTCACAGTAATAAATACCAACATCCTCAATCAGGGAGGGAGGAGGAGCCAGTTGATGATGCCGCAAGGCACCGGCTGGATATACATAGATTCTCGTCAACAAATGCTGGAGCCATGAAACTTTCAACCTGTGCGACTGCAAGCAAATTTGCTCAGTCGTTGACTACACCACATACTCTCGGGTGTGAGAGAATCATTGAATCGAAACCTGACAGACGAAGGGTGACAATCATCCGGATCTATCAAATTACAGCAGACCAACTGACCCTATTGCAAGTGTATGAGAGAAATTTGAAATGAGAGTTTGAGTCCATTTTGAGGAAAGTAGAAAGAGCTCTGTGACAAACGCCGACTACGGAATCCATCACTCTAATGCATACCTTCAACGAGCACGTCAAAGCAGACACTGACGGGTTGAAATGCCTGATCAGTAATAGGAGCTTTAGCCATTTCAACAATGAAAACAAGATGCTGTTGCGGATTCGTGCAAACAACGAATAGTCTATTATGGACACCTTCTTCGAGCATCAAAAGATGCCCAAGTATACTCTGCATATGGAAGCTTGAAATTTCCACTGTTTGCAGATGCCTCTGTTCGTCTAGCAACTTCTGAAAATGGTGTCCATCGCTCTGTGACAAGGATCGACGTCGATAGCGAAGTGACGTGGCCAAAGGCGTGAAAATATGTTTGAAACTACAAGCCTAATGCTTTTCAGTCTTCTTGCCCGATGTGGTTTGAAAATTATCAGGAAAGCCGGGGAACTGTGTGAAAAATATGAGAAATACCTGAACCTCACGGTTATGTTTACTGTTGATGGAAAACTGAAGGAAGAAATCGACCAGCGAATCAGAATGGCCAGCGGCATTCTGGTGGGCTCGCCCGAACCTTTGTGACTACACAAGAGATGAGTTTAAACACTAAACTCCCTACTCAAGTCGATCTTCATCCCGATGCTCATCTGCGGTAATAAGTTGTGACATATGACTGAAAAAGGATACAGTCCCGGAATTTAGCTTTATAAGACCAATTGGCGGGCTCATGATTCACGGTAAGGCAGGAGTTGATTTATTCAAGAGTTGACGCAAAGCCACCGTTTTTCCTGTTTGGAAAGTTACAAGTGCTGTCAGAAAAGAAAGCGAAATGGTTACTACCTGCTCTACGGATAGGCCGAAGAACAAAAGGATGTCAGGGAAGGACCTTGGAAAACTGTCTCAAAAGAGCATGCGCTAGACTTGTGCTATCTTCACCCAAATATCAAACGCTATTACAGGGTCAGCAACGTGGAGCACACTGAAGAAAACGTTTTTCTCTATACTGATGTAAAGGGAGAAACAGACTTTTCATTCTTTGCATTGTGTATTATTACCGTTTCAATCATTTATCATTATTTTTAATGCGATATATTCAGCAACGGTATCGAACGCATATATTTTGCCGTAAGCTTTCCATTATTTACACTGTGCACTCCGCCGTGTCATACATGTATCTTTATTTCCAATGCCATACATTTTAACATAAATTTTAATTTTAATGTCATATATATGACGGCATCGAAAGCTACCACAGAACATCGGGGTTGTTTTGCCAATATTGTATTTATCAAGGGATCGCGAAAGGTTTTTGGGCTTGAACATCCCTTAGTCATCCGAACGGAGAGACGCGGCTATGCGTCCTTCGCGCCACAGACTCTTAAATGCCATCGTCATTGTTAGTATAGTATCAGTATTTAATGTTCTACTTCTCCCTTAGTGCTGCCGCTTTAATTTCATTATGCTTCGAAGCCAATAGTGCTGCATATATTGTTTCAACCATGGTTTTATTATTTCGTTAGAATCACTGTTTCCATGCAGCACACCAACACAGAAATACCTGAAGAGGATAAGGCATGAATCGATATGATGTTAAGATCGTTACTTTCTATCGGTCAGTTCGATATTTAGGTATGCTGTCAAGATAGGCAGTCGGTTCGCTGCTTTTTTTTCGCCCGTTTCGGTAGATCAGGATAAAGTTTTTGTTACAAGTCCATCGTTTTTATTGATCACGGTAACTTTAACTGAAGAGACAATTTCTAATTCATTTCGTATTGAATTTTTTCCGTGTCCTCAACAGTAACTTTATGAACGATGCTCAGGTAATGTTTACATAAAGAGACATTCTTTAGCCTCGCTACAAGGTTGTTTGACATCCGCGAAAGACCATCATACCTCTTGCAACCGTTTGTCTTTTATGAAATTTTAATTATTGGCGAGACAAGGTATTCGCGATAATCAGCAGAACGCTGTTTAAAATACTTGAAGCAGTGAAATTTCCCTTGCTGCATGTTTTTTCATTAAACGTCCGGTCCATTAAAACAAGCTAAACAAGGTCGAGTCAATTTTTTACGCCAGGCCGTTCAAAGCAGCCATAATTATTTTCTAATAGTCTCGGTTATTATATTAAGTCAATTGCAGGCGTAAGGTAATTTCGAGTCGATCGCCACTCCACGTTCGGATTCTGCGGCTGTAGAGTAGGCACTCATTACTGGCAGAAGCTGATGCAAGTCAAAAACTGAAGTCTGGCTTTCAGTCTGACACAACTAACTGTCCCATTGTCTACTTCTTGCGAAAGCTTATGCGTCTGCACCAAAATATGCTGATCAAAAACGTCTATCTCTCGCCGTATGGCAGCCCAGTCGATCTGAAAGAGTTTATAGTTTCGCTTTCCTCGCTTCCTGGTGAGGAACTTCAATCGACACGATTTCTTCGACTGCTAGACCTTGCAAAAAATGTACTGTTTTATGCTCGAGGTGAGGCTGCGGTAGATAAGGTGTTTGCCAACAACCTTAAAACTTTTTTAACTCGCAAAGCTGCTCCATTTAGAATGTCAGCTGGCTGTATTGTTCAGTGTCCTGTCAAAATTCTAAGCGACTGATCGGCGAAAAGCTATATGCGGCTGCGGGCAATCTTTGTCACCCCGTTCTGCCGTGCCTTAAACGACATTAATCGTGTCACTGTCCCAAACCTGCGTTGGTTTCTCAAATCCCTTGACTTGCTTAGCCTCTACCCTCTGACTTCTCACCACAGTGATCAGATGCGCAGTTACCAGAATCAGCAATGTGTTGAAAGTCAGGTTTGACTGTTCCTGTCCAGTGGAAAAGTTTACTGTAAAAACGTACCACATTACGTGTGAATCATTGCAGAGACCCCGTTGCCAAAAGGAAAATTCCAATGGACTTGGAAGCATGGGTTTTCAAACTTTACGCGAAGCATCGTTTTCCGGGCAATTAAGAATCTACGGCGCAACATCAAATCTCTGTGTAATACGGTGCCAGCAGGATGGACCTTGAGGAACGTCCCTGGCTTACCTAAACTGACTTTTCCTCAACTACGAAAGGGGCAAGTCGATGTCTTCTGACTTCCGTGCTCTATAAGAGGGATTTACGATCCGGTTCAATTCGGCATAGAATCGATCCAATCCTCGTTGAGCATCTCCATTGGAACATGCATCCCGATCGAGGTGGAGCCAGCTCACACATATTCATATATTGTTCAGACGACCCGTACCATGTTGGACGGTTTCTACTTTACTGTTCTTTGTGCCTCGCACTTAATCTCAGGGTATGCATGTGATACTTCCGTATTAGCTGTGATAATTCCGGTACGACAGAAAAGACCATCAATTGAAGGTGGTCAACCTCGATACTTTCTGATCAATCGCTTTAACTTCCGCTCTCCTTAAATGCTCATATGGCTGAGTTCCGCCCATTCTGGAGTTGAATATGAGGGACAGGAGTGATCAACGCAGTTCCCCTACAGAAGAAGGCTTGAACAAACGATACGTATGGCTGCGTTACAAGCGAAATCGCCAGCGAACTGAACAAATGCGGAAGAATTCTAAGACAGCGTTCTTCGATCAGTTCGCCTAATTCAACCTCATATCGCGCAGCAGAGTGATGCTAGTAGTTCCGGCAAATTTTGTCGACCGCTTGATCCAGTAGCTTGATAGTTTTCTTTCCGTCTGTCGTCAGATCATGAAATATGGTC